CCACCAAGGAGGAATGGATTTTTCGAAAAATGTGAAACACCCCTAAAATGAATTTGAACAAAGATCTTTGAAAATAAGTTTGGGGCCGATCAGATGGTAAACAAAAAACTTTCATACAACCGTTTTCCGCCAATTTACCACTGTTACGGGTGGAATTCCCCAAAACGCTAACATACGTATTTATTGAGTTCTTATGTAGAGCTTTGAAAATAAGTTTGAAGCAAATCGGACGCAACTTAAAACTTCGCCCAAAAAATCTTTAAATCGCATTCCTCCCGAAAAAGTTTGAATTCTGCGAAAAGTGTGAAACACGTCTCAAATAATTTTTCTTATAGATCTCTGGAAATGAATTTGAGCGCGAAACGTCACCCACCAAATCTTTGACCTCCATTTCCACCAAGGAGGAATGGATTTTCCTAAAAGTGTGAAACACCCCTCAAATGAATTTGAACAAAGATCTTTGAAAATAAGTTTGAGTCCAATCCGATGGTAAACAAAAAAGTTGCATAGAAACGTTTTTCGCGATTTTGCCACACTTGCGGGTGGAATTTCCCGAAACCCCGCCTTAACGTGCACCTACATCACATAAGGTAAAATTTCAGCTTCCTAGCTCTTACGGTTTGGGCTGTGCGTTGATCACCAATCAGTCAATCAGTCAGTCAGTCAGTCAGTCAGTCAGTCAGTCAGTCAGTTAGTCAGTCAGTCAGTCAGTCAGTCAGGACAAACAGTTTTATATATAGAGATGTATATATATATATATATAATGTGCTAAGCTCATTAATTTGGCCTGCATTTGCTGTTTCCTACTCTATGTAACAAAAATTTTTTTAATAAAAAAAAAGAGTCAAGAATTTCTGACTGAAAAAAAAAACTGTTTTTAAAATCTGTTGTCATTCCAGACGGACAGGCATAAAAATAGTCAAATAGATAGAAAGCTCCAAAATTGCAAGATCGATTCGACAGCTCTTGCTGAACAAGAAGAGTAAGATCTTTTAAGATTAACATATAATATTTATTTCCTTTTTAGGTGCACGCAGATGATCAAATCAAAGGATAAGCCATGATCATTATAGCATTAAGCCTGAAAACAAAATATTATATATTTAAAAGCTACGTTAAGTATTTACAATTGGGAATACCCTGAACCCTCATCAACCAACACCAAATGCAGGTCGCACTACGCGCTCCGTTGCTTCAACAGTAATAAAAATAAATTTAAAAAAATATATTTCCTCGAAAGGTCTCATAAATAACATGCTGAAGCTGCCATATTAGGTAGTAGTGATCTTGTTAACAATAAAATATATATACATTTTTAATAAAAATTAAAAAATTAAAAAATAAAAAAAAATCTATTGGTCTCGAACTCGTAACAGACCACACTACTTTCAAACGCCTCTACTCAACAGACAGGCCAAGAATTGAGTCTTCATGAGAAAAAACAGAGTAAAGTAGCAGCACAGAAAACCATAAAATCGCAATTGCAATTCTGTAGATAGAAAAGACGCTTATGAATGTGTGGGTACATGTATACAAAAAATCTTGCAATTTGCGCTAGCTGCCGCAAACACGAGGCCAGCCAAAACACGTTTTCTTTGTGTTTCTTAACCGATCTTGATGAAATTTTCAATATAGCTTATTGTGCTATAGAATATTCTTATATTCTTAAAATGACAAATGCTTTAAAATTGAAGTTTAAGTTGGTGGGTAGTTCAAATGTATTTGATTTACACAATTTTTTATGGGTTCAGGATATAAAAAAATAGATCCCTCAACAGGACTCGAGCACGCGACAGACCACACTTCTTGCCACCACCCCTACTCAACAGGCAAACCAACAGTTCATCTTCATTGAGAAAAAAAAACAAATTAAACTAGCAAAACATACACATAGCACAAAATACAATACAATCGCAATTGCAATGCTGTTGATAGAATTCAAAGAAAGTATACAGAAATTCTGTTTTTCTGCTGTTTCTTTAATAACTTTTGAGTTTCTCAACCGATCTAAATGAAATTTTCTACAGTACATCTTATTGTGCTATAGAATATTTATGTGTTCTCAAAAAGTCAATTGCATTAAAATTGTGGCTTAAATAGGTGGGCAATACAAGTTGGTTTATTAACTTGATTTATAGCTTTGCGGTGGAAGCGGGGAGGTGGCGATATTTATAAAATGAAAGATACTTGATATATTCATACTATTCTAGAAGCTACATATCAAGTTTGGTGACTCTATCTCTTTTTATTTTGCTCAAAAAAGCACGATGTTGGTATCGATTTTATTCGATTGTTTAGAAACGGAGATATCGATTATCGGAAACATTCTCGTACTACGCATGGACTAGGGGTACCTACATACCAAATTTCAAGACTCTACCTCTAATAGGTTCGTAAATCCTTGCTATCATACATACGGATGGACGGACAAACAGACGGACATGGCTAGATCGACTCGGCTGTTGATGCTGATCAAGAATATATATAATTTATGGGGTCGGAGATGCTTCCTTCTGCCTGTTACATACATTTGCACAAATACATTATACCCTTTTTACCCATTTTCAATGGGTTCAGGTTATAATTAAAGGCAACTACTTTTAATAGGTTCTACTTTCCGGTTTTTTCGTTGGCAACGCATAAGTGAAGTTTGCTCACGAAGAAGTCCGTGTATGAGCAACCTTTTAAAACCGCTTACCCACTTAACGGTGTACAAAACAAACATGCGCCACGCATGAGAACACATGCGTCTCACGCACACTCGCACACATACAGACACATAATATACGCACACACACATACACATTGACAGGACGCGTGGTAGCTGCGTTCCATGAATTCAATCAATTTTAACGCAATTTAAATTGCATTCTCTTGTGAAAACACAATGCGTGGCGTCTACACACGCATATAGAGACACACGCATACACAGAGAGACATGCACACAGAAATGCAGATAGTATACGCACACACAAACGCACACAGAGAGATACTGAGACGTGAGCGCACATTATACTGCAAGTGGAAGCATTGCAATGCGTTAATTGGCGGCCACGCCCCAATTGTCAGACCACGCAGCAGAAGGCGTCCTGCCGGGCACAAGCCAGGATAGCGCAGGCTATGCCACAGGACGCTGTCTTGCAATCCCGACGTTTACATTGTTTCAACTGCCATTCACATTTATAGTGGCACTCTATGTCCTTCCCGATGGCCATGATATGCCACGGCTGGGCGCATCCTTTTCACATCGTCTCACTGTTGTTTAAACAAAAGCAACTGTTGCATAGCCGCAGGCGAATGCAGCATGCAATTATGATATTCGAGCAATAACTGTGCACCCTTGTTGCATATCATTTACAATCCTTTATGTTTCAAAACTGTTAATGTAAAGGTAATCCAATTCGGACTATGATCAATAATTAATATTTAGGCAGCTCCTTAAATTGATACTCAATTCGCCGCCATAGACAAAGATACAATTAATTGATAATTATGAAGCTTGATTATAAATTGTGATGTAAAGGTTTTTGCTGTTAACTTTAACAAGCACTTGACAAGGATGTCAAAATCAATGTCAATATAAATTATTGGACTAAAGTAAAATTTAATGTGATGACTTCTTGCTTTGAAGCATTTACTTCGTCAACCTGTAAGTTTATTTTCAACAAGGTGGCAACCTCGTTGTCTACAGAAAATTAGGCACCAAGATAATATATTTAACATTCGATTTGCAGAAAAAAGATTTTAGCATCGAATGTGTTCATAAAACAGATTTTGACATTCAAATAAAATTAATTGCTTAATTTTCTAACTACATATTTAATAATATTACAAATCCGCAGTGAGATCTAAAATACAAAAAGCGGCTTAAAATCAGTGTAAAATAGAAACGCTTATTATCACATTTGGTTTGTATGTGGCAGTTACATTTTTTTTTTGTGCAATCCCTTTTAATGTTTTCACAATCCCTTTTAATGCGCACAATTAATTTCGTTATGCTTTGTCGCCTTTGACATGTCAATGGTTATCTCGGACACACGTACACACACACATACACACAAGCGCACAGGCAGTGTTACAATTTGCTAAAATGTCGGAGCTTAGAAAATAATGCGAATTCAGGTCGCTCCTCAAACCTGGCGGATGTGCGCATCGAATAAACATTGCATAATTATGGGCGTTTCGCGTTGCAATGTCGTGATGTCGCGATGCTGCAATTCGCGATTTTTTGCGCAAACGTAATTAAAATTATTTTAATTTACACGCACACACATACACATCAAATTACAGATACATTTGGTTCGGGCATAAAAGCATTGACATAACATTGGAAATTAATTTTTAGCTATGGTCGGCACACCCGAAAAACCATCAACAAATTGTCGGCGTTTGCGTTCATTTGTTGAATTGATTTTCCTCGTTTTTTCCTCCCAACCCAAAATTCGTGCTGTGAATTCGTGTTTACACTAAAGCCAAAATGCGTGTGGTTTCCTATATTTGGTATATATTTGATAAGGGAGATGAGGACATGAGTTCGCTGCATACAAACCTGTGTGTGTGTGTGTATGTGTTTATGTGTGTAGTGGTACGTGATGCGATTAGAACGACTTTAAATCATTAAGCATTACAATTTCGACGATACAAAAACGAGTTTTACACAAATTGCTGTTTTAAAAATTGAATTAATTTTGTGCTGAACTGGTAATAGTCAATTATATTTGAACTAAAATTTTCAGTTGACATTTGCCTAAAAATAACTTTCCCAAAATTAATACATTTATAAAAATTAGCATTTTACGCAAAGCCAAATATATACCAAAAATTCGTGAAATTCATTTTCCTTGCTCATCAACAGAAGTTTGAACTTTGGTGCGAACTTTACGAATTATTATTATATCTTGAATGAAAATTTAATCCGAATTGAGTTATTTTTCGCTGATTATTGTGATTACTTTAAAAATATTGTGATTACTTTATAAATTTAAATAATACACTTATGCTTTTAAATAAATAAAATAAATAAATAATAAAAGTTTATAAAAATTGTTAAGGCCATGCCCTTTACAGTTTATACATTTGGATGTACTGCGCATTGAGTGCGCGCATCTTGGAGCTGTGCCCGCTCTGTTCACACTTCAAGTAGTGGGCGCGTATGAAGATCATGTGGGACGTCTCCTGCTGTACGCCAAGCGGCAGCTCGTGTGTACTGTTAACGCTGCAGGCACTCACGACCAGCTCGAATTGGCAGTGGTAGCAGCGCAGCAGCCTTCGCTTACCCTGAAACCGAATGTTGCCATAGGAGCTGCGGCGGCACAGGACGCAGCTGTACTTATAGCAAGCCGTGCAGTCAGCTAGCAGAGGCAGCTGCGGCAGCAAGGACTTGGCGCGATAGGCCCTGCGTGAATGTTGGCTGCAGCGGATCAGGGTTTCGATGCAACTGTTGCACTTACCACTTCTGCGTGTTGTGGCCATGTGCAGTTTCACCATTGTATATATATGCAGCCGCGTGGCACATCTGATGCAGCAGCGTCTCAATAAGCATGCTGGACTCTCGAATATTTGCCGAGAGCTGAAAGCGTGCGCGACGCTGCCTATCAGCCGCAAGGCTAAGGACACAGCTGCTGGGCTGCTTCCTGTTCTGCTGCCACTCGATGCACTGCCGCAGGCCACAATAGAAAATCACATGGTTAAACAGGCTAAACAAAGACTTGGCCAATCGCGCTTTACAGCTGTCAAAGCTCTCCTGGCGATAGCTGAGCGCAAATGGATGACACAGGGCAAGGGGCGTGTCCGCTACAGAGATAATCTAAGCTAAGCCGAATGCAGATTAACCAGTTACTCACGACTTAGCGAGCTCAGGAAGCTATAGTAGTGCAGCTGCTGCTCCAGGATTTGTTGCACCAGTCTCTTGTGCCAGCAGCAAATACGGGTCCGTTCCGCCTCGCTGGGCAGGGCGCTCAATTCGATGGGCTCCTTGAGCTGCTGCGGCGTTTGCTGCTCAAAGTAGTTGGCATTGATGCGCAGCACATTGTCTTCAAATAGTTTCTGCTTCAGCAATTTAAATAGCACCAGCTCCACTCGTGGCAGCTGCTGACGCCATGTCTTTGGCTCTGGCTCTGGCCCTGGCTCTGGCTGCACTGCGTTGGTAGGCCATAGATCAGTGTGCGCAGACTCTTCCATTGCCTCAAGAGATTCCCTCGAATTATATAGTGGACGGCGCGCATCGGCTAATCCCAAAAACTTGTCCAAGCATCTTTTCAGCTCAACATCTTCATCAACTACAGCAGCAGCTGCTGGTTCATGGTATACGATGGCCGCAGGTTCACTTAAATCCAGATAGATGAGTTTACGAAATCTCGACTGCTCTTTTTGACTAATTCCAGATCCCATGTTATCAAGAGTCCCCTCGTCTTTATTTACCACACATTGCTCCCTGCTTTCCTCGCGATCAATCTGTGCAGGTGAACGTACTACTCGACCGCTTCGTGTGATGATGAGATTGTGAGAATCTAGGTAATTTGTAAAATTTTATAGTTATAACAAAGCTAATTGAAATCGCAGCTTGCTGTATAACTTGCCCATGTTGCATAGTTTAGTTTTTTTTTTGATTTCTTTGAGGTATATAATTATAAAAATGTTTAATTTGGCAGCTGACAGCAGCATCAAATTCATAAGATTAAAATACATATTTTTTCGAAAACGATGCTTCAAGGCTTCATTGCATGTACCTACACTGTAAACCGACTATTGTGCAGTCGGTAGCATCCGACAGAAACTTTCATACTTGTTCTGCCTTTGATTAATACCCATATCCGAAGAGAAATTTAATTATGTAAACTATAATTTTTAAAAAAAAAACATAATATCTGTAATATGTATTATATTTGAAACTGGGTTTACTTATTTTTATTTTTCAATAGAATTCAGCTCACTTTCGATCCAAAATGAAATTTTCTGCTTCCTAGCACTTACTCTCTTATTCCTATTTTATAATTAACAAAAGGCTTTACCGTTACTAAAATCCACAACAAGAAACGGCCGAGCCACAATGTAGACCACAATACTGGTAACAATTGTAAGGCTTATGTGTATAGAGGGTGCTTATTTCCATTAAACGGCTAATAACACTTTAGTGTTGCGCTTGGAGCTATTATTTATTTATGCTTCTAGCTTTATCTGTATGTATATATATACATATATTTGCATAGGTGTTTATATATATACGTATATATTTCAGTGCACTTAATTTAAATATGTGCATAACTTGCCGGCACGAAAGGAAGGCAGCGGCAGCTTTTTGAGCACCTGCAGCAGATCCTTGAAAGTGCCAGCACAGCGCACAAAGCATTCTCAGCACAGTCCTCTCTATGGCCAACAACCGACCCAGCCACCAACTGCATATCTCACATATACTATATATGCCATACTATACGCTACCATAAAAATATAAGCGCTGCGCTTGCTTCCAAAAAATGAAAATGCTAAACAAAGAAAATAAAAGTGGAAGCCGGCACGAAAAACGAGCGCAAGGCAAAATACTAAAAGAAAAATGCCGCAGCTAAGTTTGCGAGAATGAGAAAGGGAAAGAGCGACAGAAAGGGCGTCGCGGGATAGTGTTGCACAGGCCAGGGTAGTCGCATTATTTTGTATTACAGCGACTCTATAGCTGACCCCAGAGCTCAGCTTGTATTGCAATTTTTCAATTTCAAAAACAATTTTGCTCTGCCAACATACGTGTGGTCAAAGATAAGCTCTGTAAATATATATATAAAAAAAAGAAAAACAAAAATAAAAGCGCGCAATAAAACCAAAACGGCTGCAAACCAAAGCGAGCCGCAGCTCAAGCAGCAGATCAAAAATGGTCAAAAGCCAGAAGGGCGGTCAAAAAAAATTAAAGACACACAGATTTACACACACACACATACACTCACACAAACATAAATAAAATTGTATGACCAAAAATAAAAATGTTCGTTGTTGGTGGTGCGGGGCTGTGGAGTTGGATGGGCATGACATTGTATAAAGGCTGGCACCAGCTACCAGCGGGACATGCCACACAATGAAATGTGTTGTCCAGCATTTAGTCCTGTCACACATACATATAAATATATATATATATATATACATATAGAAAAAGGCGACCTGCTGTGCACCCACAGCTCGCGTCGAGGACGGGCATAGAAAGTGGGAAAGGCTCAATTGACCTGCTGCAGGGTGTAGTTGTAGGTGCAGATAACTTGGTCACTTGGCCTCTTATGCTTTTGATTTAGATTCAGTTTTCATGCATTTTACTGGGGAAAGAATATAAAAGCCATTCGTGTTGTACATGCAGGCTGTAATAAGGTGCCAATGGAAAGCTAATTGCTGTTCAATTCGCTGACAAATTTATGTTTTCATAAGCATTCAACAATAATTATGTATTTACAATTTAACAAAATGGTCAGGAGATTTCATCTAGATTTTTATTGCAGAATATAGCTAATTAAAAACAATTTTATCATAATAACCAAACTTAGAAGCAATGCAAATTTATATTATTTAATAAAACAGAGCTTTGATTTTATATTTGCCCTTTAAAAATAAAAATAAATACAAAAATTACGAAATATCCATGTTGATTTAAGAACTGAAATTGCAATCGTTTTATTTATTCATTACGATTCCAATTGCAAGGCAATCGGCGTGGTAAAAACCACAGTCTTTCATGCAGCTCGCATAACAGTAAGAAAAGCGAATTCCAATAGCTGCCCCATCAACGTAGAGCACGCGTGAGTAACTCGAAGCACGAGCACCCACACACACACACACACATATACACATACTATAAAAACGAAAAAGACAATCACAAACTAATAGTTGAGCATTTTGGAGCAGTGAGCGCCACATAAAAACTAAAGCCAAGACATAACTTCATCTTGCTGCAGCGATAACAATTATTGCAGCGACTGCTGCAGTTGCCACGCCCTGACCGCACACACAAATGCAGCAGCAGCAGCAGCAACAGCAACAACAAGCAAAATTACCACAGCTCCAAGTGTATTAATGCTTGTGGCTGACGCAATGCGTCTTAGTTATTATAGGCGAGATTGTGGTCCGATTTCAGCGCACCTCAAGGCGACAAAGTAGCTGTCGAATATGAAGGGTTGCATTAAGAGTGAAAAGTAGCAGCAACCGCTGACAGCTCCTGTCGATGCCAGTTCATTGTGCCAAGATGCGTGTACGAAATGTGGAATGCGGCAACAGTGCGTATGCGGCTTATGTGCGAATTATATTAGCTATTGGTAGAGAATCTTGCTCAGGCATAAGACAGTGGAGTGTGCCAAAATTAATAAATATAACTTTACTCATTCAAATAAATAAATAAATAAATTTTAAAAAATATTTTGCCTTATGTAGACACTTCCTATTTAGCTTAAGTTAATGTATAATTATTTAATTTATGCTTTAAGTCAATCAATTGGGTGTTGAAGATGTTGCAAGACTATGTTTAAACTGCACTTGAATTTGCAATAGCAAAGCAAATAATACAATTTCTGTCATTTTCAAATAATTTAAAAACAAAACAGTTGCTGACTTCTCAAACAGTTTAGAATTGTGGGGCAAAAAGCTATCAGCCCAAAAAGCAAATTGTTACAGTTCGAATTCCAGCGTTTTGTGGCGTGGCAATAGTGCGTATGCCTAATGTGGCTTTGACAAATGCCAAATCGCAGAGGAGTAAATTGACAAAAGCTGCACAGGCAGCACTCTCCCTGCCATCAGCACAAACCACAAATCCCCAAGTCGCTATAACATTTCTCAAACACTGCCATAGAGCTAGGCGATGCGAGGCAATGCGTTGCAAGGCGAGGCCAAGCCGCATAAGCCGCTAACAGCCACAAGCCAAGCCAAGCCAAGCCGAGCCAAGGCAAGCCAAGCAAAGCAAACAAAAGCTTTGCAACAGGAGCAGCACAATAAGAAAAAATACATACACAAACACACACACACGCACACTCACACACAAATAAAATGGCAAATACGAAATTCGAGCAACACAAATGCAAATCAAAGCGAATGCAACACTCAATTGCTATTATCGAGAACGCACAAAATGACAACAGCAAATGCAGCGACTGCAGCTGCTGCATTGCTGCTGCCTTTTCAAAATAGTAAATTGCCTTTTTCCTTAAGGAAATGCTGCAAAGCCCCAAGTAAGCCCGTTCTTCTCACTCGCTTTTTCTTTCTTTCCCTCTCTCTCTCTCTCTCTCTCTCCATCTCTCTCCGTCTATCTCTGCTTTGCTCTTTCGTGCTTTTTATATTAAAAACCGCGTAATGGAGTGCAGCTTATTGCCTGTGGATTTTGGAGATTTCCCGGGGTGAAATCCATTTCTGCCCCGTCTCTTTGTATGTGCAAATTTGCGGAAATGCAATGAAAATGTAATGAAAACGCCAATGAAATTTTCGAGCAGCCCTCATTGACGAAATGTTCATTGATTTCAAAAGCAACAAACGACTGAAGGCCTCAACTCAAATATCAATAGGCTGCCGGGGCCCCGCTACCACTGCCACTCCCCTCTCAGACGCATGTCAGAGCCACCAACTAGAGCCCGAAGCAAATGGTAGTCAGATCCCGAGTCCCATTCATTTTGCAATCCAATGGCACAGCCCAACACATCAGCCAAGTGGGAGTGGAAGTTTCAATTTGTAGTCGAATGAAATGCACTTCACAAATTTAGCTGCCTGCCGCCTAACTGCCTAACTGCCTGCCTGGTTGTCTGCTGTCCTTTGCTTTCAATTCTTGAAACTGAGCCAATGGCTAGCCATTAAATGTAAGCCGCACTTTCTAAATGTGCATAAGAACTATATAGTCGTTAGAAATGACTACTTTTACATAAAATACTAAATAGCTTCTCTCAATTGTTTTAGCCAAGTTTATGGCTCAGTTAGGGTGTATTAATTTTAAAATTTGAATTTTGTTGAGCATAAGTGCATATAGGTATCATATCTTTAAAGTTCCTTTCCATCTAAAATTTAGGTAATACACTGAGATGGGTATCTTCCTTTCACAAGTGTTTGCTTGGGTTTTTTGCTTGGTCTCTATTTTATAAAATCTTTCTTTCTCTTGTCCCCTCTTAAAGTCATTCTCGCTGTCTGTAGTTGCGTGCCTTTCACTTGTTTTTGTCCCAGATTCTCACTTAAAATTGAACTCTTTTGCCTTGCCGTCTTTCTATAAATTCGCATCGGTGAGCATGGATATATTTACGTTGTTTATATTTAAAGTACTTTACCATAGTTGTGTAGACGCGTATTAGTACAGTATAATTTGCATAGCTGCCTCGAGTACTTCGCACAGACATTAGAGGCAGCTATCCTAAAAAGGCAGCTAGCTTAATTTATTTTTTTTCCTAAAAGTGAACCGAGTTCATAGTAACCTCGACTTTTTTTAAGATGCACTGAATTATATTTAACAGTACTAAGATTAATAAATTAATTTGATAGTTTTTATTAACTTTATGTATTTAAATTACATTTAATTCAATGTCAATACAGTTTATTGTATACATAAGAAAAACAGATCAACAATCAGCACATCTGATCATAGATGGCGCAGTTAAATTACATTCAAATTCATAGAAATTGGCAAAAAGTTGCTGCCTATAGGAGGAGTTTAAGTGCAAAATGCTGTTAAGTTAGATACACTTAA